ACTCCATTGTTGTATTTTGTCATCTATATTTTAAAGAATTCTGTTTGTCTCATAGTATTTTCGGTAGTGCCCACAAGTTTTAGTAGAGAAAAGATAATTCAACTCAGTGAGTTATCATATTAGTAATGGGTATCATATCAACTAGTTAAAAGGAATTTTTAACTAGAAAATAATTTTAGGGATTTTTTTCAGCAAAAAGTAGAAATGTGACTGTGAGATTGCAGGGCTTAAATTATTTTTAAGCAATAAAAAAAGCATATTTTATAAAATAAACTCTCATACCATCTTAAAAGCCTATATATATAATCTTCAGTAGTTATAAGCATTATGTGTTCATTTTCTTTGTACTGTTTTAAGAGCTGAAGTACTCCATAATGAGTGATTTAGAAAAAAAATCAACTTTCTTTACAGCATATTAAAGAGTATGAATTGAAGTTAAAGGTTTAACCTCAAGATTTGAGTGGGTACCTAAGGTTACATACTAATACATAGCTTGTACTCATGCATGGCTGTCACTGAAATTAACAGATGTTTTGTTTGTGTAAGACCTGTCTCATAGCATTTATGCTCTGGACTGAAGAGAAGTCTTGGAAAGTAGAAAATAGGGTAAATTAAAGTAGAAACAACCATCCTAGAATAGTTGAGTTGGAATCCCTTTCTTCTCTTTCCATCTTTTTGTCTGTTGTGTTTACTCTTTATTTTGTAATTCCATATTTTATATTTAAAGTGGAATTATTTTTTATAGCTGCAGTTTGTATAGCAGCATCCTTAGAACTAAGACCATCTCTGTATGTGTTTTTTTGTTTTTTTTTTGTTTTTTTTCTTTTTTTGCAGGAGGTGGTGGTGGTAGTGGTGGTGGTGGTTTTTTAACTAAGGCTTTGTAGAAGTAGGAGCATAAGCCTGCCCTCCATGGCTGTGAGCTTAGAGATAGCAGCAAAAAAACCTCTCCATATGATTTAAGTGCTAGGGAGAGTCCAAGAATTACAATTACAATTACAATTTCAGGGTGACACTCTTCTCAGTTGACGCTCCTATTTAGTTCAAGTTGTTTTCACATAGTTTTTGCAAATTTATTGCCCACAAATTCTAAATTTTTGCCACAGCTTTATTAGAACAAGGTTTCATGTGGAGTTGTGACTTCAGAAATGTAACTCTAAGTTCTGTCATCTGGGTTTGTCAGTTGATTCATGACAAAAATGATCAAACAGCCCTACATCAACTTAATCTTTGCTTCAGTAAGCAAAGACTTTACTAAGAATTTATGTAGAGTTAGAATCAGCAGTTAGAGAACTGCTTAAGAGGAAGTTTTACTGAGAGTGGATATATATGAATGTGTGGTTTTGATAACATCTCTTGGAATCAACTAACTGTACGGTTGTGGAATCAGCTAGTTGTACAGCTGTTGGAAATACATGTAATATGTTTCTAAAACAAAAGTTTAGAGGCATTAGTAGTCTTAAAACACTGAAAACAACAAGTTAGTTATCTCAATGTTTTTCTTCCTCCTGCTTTGTGAGAATAAACAAATAAACAGCAAAAGTATATTTTTGTATACACTAGTATGGCTTAAAAGAAGATTGCTTAAAAAAGTCGATTAACAATTACCAAAGCTCAGTCCTCTACAAATTTTATGTATGTGGTTTTAGAAAGATTTACAGAGAGCCAAGTAATTTGAGAAAAAATTCTCTCTTCTGAGTTTGATCCTGTTGATTATTATCTTGATCTTGATAACTAATAACAGTACTGAATGTAAAAGGAAAATACTACTTTGGAATAAGCATTGATTTTATAAATATTCTTAATGATAATTGTTCAGCTTGCTTGTACCTGCAGTCTACATCATTTTGGGGGCCTATATTATACGCTAAAATTCTTCTATCGTAAAACATACGGGAAAAATGTCAACGATTCTTGTGGTTTGAATTAAGCTGTGTTGTTAATATAAAAATAAATAACACATGCAAGTCAACACTATTCTCCCAGAATGGAATCTCATCGACAGAAGTATAATTTGTTCACTGGGATTCTGAAATCACTGATTCTTCTAAAAACATTTGTATTTGAAAATGTGAATGTAGAACAGGTCATCTCAATCTTCTGAAAATCAGTGCAAGAAAAAGTCCTAACATAGAATAACTAAGAGCGTACATCTTGAGTGTAATTCTAGAGCAAAAAAAAAGTACTTTTCTGTCAAATTTGAGTGAGAAGATGTCCTCCAACACTAAAAAGGTGATAGCCAACTGTAACAGTGTGAACGTTTGCTGGCAATTATTATGTGATATCATAGTTACTTCAGCATGATCTCAGATAGATTATTTTTTAATGGTAACACAAGAGTCCAGAAAATATAACATCTGCTTTTGGCATATGGTTGCTTGTTACTTATTAAAAAAAATTTGAGTGAAATAGAAAATGTTTAAGTCTCTGCTTTTCAAGAGCGTGGTGAAAACATTTCCTCCTTGGTGTGGCAGTTTGCTGGAGAAATTTTTTTATGTAGAAATTTATGTACATAAATTTCTAAGTGGCCAGCTTTTTGCCATTTCACTGAAAAGTGCTCAAGATAAAATATTTGATTTTATTGTTTGAATTTGTTTTAATCTAGTTAATTAGTTACTTGAAATATTTCATTTAGGATGAAGTATTTTTACTGTTGCTGCGATGATTCTGTGAATGAGAGAAAATTTAATCCATTGGTTAACTGTGTTGGTAGTTTTCTTAACATTTTGCAAGGCACAATAGAGGGCAAAAAACCCCAACTTGGTAGCACAGGTAACAGTAATAGCATTAACAGTAGGCAACTGTAGAGAAATGGGGGTACCTTGAGCATTAATTTAGTATACTTTATATGCTAAGGGCCCACTTCACATCGGTGCTGCCATGTAGCAAGATTACTGCCGTCCTGTTTTCATCCTGCATATATGTGCCAGACTTGCACATGTTTGTATCAATATTGTATGGAGAAAACCACAGGAAAAAAGCACTGTCAGTTTGAAAAAGAAAACAGGCTCTTCGGAAGTTACCATCAAAGGAATGATTACTTTTAGAAGAAGTGGTTGGTGGGTTTTGTTTTGGGGGTTTTTTTGGTCTACTTTGTCACTGGTTACCTAGAGAACTTGATTTTCCATGGGAACATGCCACTCTTCGAACTTTAAGCTGTTTGGCAGAGGCTCTTCCTACCATTCTACTATAGTGCAATTGCAAGAATTGTACGTATACGTTCTGTTAGTCTGTAGATTACACGGGTGCATCCTTGCTATAAGCATCCCTATCAATTTATCAATAAAAATATTGTTTAATGAAAGCAGTATAGCTGATGTTAGGCTTATGAACAGCAAACCTTGCAATGGAAGAAAACTGAAAGATTGTTGGGTCTAAAACCAAACGTAACTTGAAATAAGAAAATGTTTTTTAAAAAAATCAAACACTGATCAAATTTCAGTCACATCTGAAGCAGAGGAAAATATTTTATTATAGCTGTATTGAACCTGTGGTGTCATGATTATCTGGTGGTTTGTGGGTGTGTACTGTGTGTGTGTGTGTGTGTGTGTGTGTGTGTACATAGGTAGGGGTGTGTGTGTATGTGTCTGTTTGCTTCTCTTTTGTTTTTGTTGAACTCCCAGGAAGAGGTTTAAACATGAAGGCAAAACTTTCAAACCTTAGCATGGCTAAATATAAAGCAAAGCTGCCATTTCTTTCTTTCTTTCTTTCTTTTTTCTACCTTTTTGTGCCTCCATTTAGATCTATCACATAATTTAAGGAAAAAAGAAAGACAATGTAACCACAGGAGAGCTAATAGTGTGAAAAAAAAAACCAAACCCCTGATGAATTTTGTTTCCGCAGCACGATATTATCAAAGATTTAAGAAACAAATTTGCCAGCCTCGGCGAGAACTCTCTGGTAACAGCCTAAATGTCTGTGTTGGTTTGCTTTTGAGTTGAAGGTTTCTTTTTTCATTCATTTGAATACATTTCTCTTTTTTACCTCTTATTTTTTAATTTATTATTCATACCCTCTATCTAGCAAGCCTTCATTTTTTAAACCTCTTCCATCTTCCAATATCTTTTTTCCGTAATTTGGATGGAAAGTTTATGGCAGCAAAGCTGTCATTCTGGCTACTTCTGCTGCAGCTGTTCCTGCTTTTAGGTCATACATATTTTGAGCGTTGTGTTTTTGGACATGATACTAATTGACTGTGTCATGTTCCTTTGAGTAAGCTTTTTACCACGCCATCTGATGGACTCACTGTCATAGGGCTCTATGCAACTTCTATGCAACTTATACTGCTTAGTCATCCTCAATTCTCCAGCAAACTTTAATTAACTTTGTGAAAGCTCAAAGTCCTTTGGAATTAACTGTGCCTTTATGTTTGCTCTTTATGTTCTTCCTTATGTTTTCAGTGGTAGTTTAAATTTTAAAGAACAAACTTCAGCCATTGCTCAAGCAACACCATGCAGTATTGTTTGTTGCCGCTAGAGAATGCAAAATATAAAAGCACAGTGCATTCTATCAAATATTCTGTTGGTAGGGTGGGCGAACCGTATTGCATTATAATGAGACTTTTGAAAAAAATTCATTGAGATACTTCTGTTACTCTGATACTGAGCACCAACTTGCAACTCAAGAGCCACATGCTGAGCAGTATGAAGTTATGGTCACACTGTAGAAGATTATTAAGCCTGTGAACCGTTGCACAAAAACGTAGCACTTAAGTGCAAGCTTATATATGCAGTATATATTTACTATGAATAAGGGCTTTGAACTAACCTAATGATACACAATTGAGACAACTCTTTTCAGATAAACCACTAAAAGTATGTTAAAGAAAAACACCAAGGGAAAATATTACTTGAACATGCTAAATATCTGTTCAGTATCATTGTGTGTGTTAAATTGGTCCATGATGTTGTCATAGAGCCCATATACTAAGAGATAACCAAAAACCTTTGGAGAACTGGTAGTAGCTGAAGTCCTCAGCCTAAATGACTGGAATTTGTATTCAGGAAAAAGAAATGGAAAAGCAAAAACTTCTGTACCAGCAAGCCAGACTGCATGACCGAGGTGCTGCTGAGATGGTTCTTCAGACAATCAGTGCTAGTAAAGGTAATATCTGGCTATGTAGATTACATATTAAAACTTATTTCTGATTATTTTTGAAGTGATTGTAATTTTTGTCGGGCAAACTCTAAAGCTGTTTGGCACTAAGGTTTGGTTTTAAAACGTATCCAAAGTTTCAAAAATTATTGGAAGTTTAACCAGAAAAATGTAATGGATAATTTTCAGGCGCTATCTGTTATCATTAATGTTTCTAGTGGTGGTTGAGAGGAAGTGCTGAGAAGTTTGTGGCTTTAGCAGTATGTGATGACTAAAAGGCCCCAAATTCCAGGATGTACACAGTTCTGAAGTAGCCATAGACTGTGGTCTTTTTTTTTCTCCCACTTGCAAAAATTGCGTTATTGGTATACTTTGACTAAATATTTCTGAAGAATGAATTAGGCTTTTGTCCCTTTAACATCAACTTACTCTAACATTTGATCTTTTCATTGTCTTTTCTGTGCTCTGTTTCTACTGTAGTATTGTTTAAAATTATCTCCTGTATACCAACTTCAGATCATTGTCAGTTTCTGAAGAAATAGGAGAAAAATTGTCTGAATTAGCACACAGTAGAAACACATTGTTAAACCTGAAGTTAGCTCTAAATCTTGCACCCAGCCTTAAATCAGTTGCTGGATGCTATTGAGAATGAAACATAATTTATATTCCCTACTTTCTGCTCTTCCTGTCTTATATCTTGTCTTTTTTGTGTGCATTGTATACATTACAGTGTCTATAGGCGCTCACAAAGATTTTGAGTCATATTAGGGATGATGGGGAAAAAAATTCAGTTTTACGTGAAAAACAAAAGGGTCCTTCCTGATAATTTGCTATTTAAGTGATTGCATGGATGAGTTAATACAATATACTTATTTTTAAATATGATCTAAAACACATTATTTTTAATAATTTTAAGGTGAGATGGGGCCAATGGTTGCAGCTACCCTCAAGCTAGGAATTGCCATCTTAAATGGAGGAAATTCTACAGTTCAACAGGTAAAGTACTCATTTATTTTTACCTATTATAGTCAATATAGATTTTTATACCATGATCCTTATTGTTGTAATACTGCATTATGTAATGCAACTATCATTTGTCAGGTGCTGTCTGTCCTCTTACTTTTTTCCCTAGGAGAAAATAGTGTACAAAAGTTTGTTGTTTATGTACATGTTTTTTGTCTGTACACATCTAATTAATCATAATGCGAGGCTAAGAGAAATGCCTTTTGCACTTAGCAGGAAGGGTGAAAGTTTATGTTCCATCATTAATTTCTGGAGGAATTCCCAGGGAATCTTTTCCTTCCATCGAGATTGCCATTGTCCTGTAGCCAGTAGGGCAAAATTGCTGGCCTTGGTCTTCAATAATAAGTTTGTACACAACTTCAGTCCTTAGCTTATGTCATGGAGAGCCTTGATGATAAAAGCAGAGAACTTACTTAAACTTGGTGATTTGTCAATCTACTGGAAGATAATGTGGGGAGCAGAGGACAAGTCTGGTGTGTTAACCATATCTGTACTGTTGAAGAAAAGTGCCTTGTGCAGAGTGTGTTTGGTGTTCTGTACTGGCTGAAGATTCTTGAGTCCCGAAGGCTTCGTGCCTAGTATTACCACATTGTTGTAGGACAACTGGGGATAATTAAGATCTCCTGTAGCTACCACTGAAGCAGCTGAGTGCAGGGAAAATAATGTTCTTTTCAGGAGCTATCGTTTGCAGGGAGAGTATTGACCAGAGACTTGTCAGTTGAGAAAGTATATGTATGAACTATTGTCAGTTCTTTGTGATGTCATGATTTTATAGCACTTAAGACAATCAGAACATTTTTACATAGTTATTTAATCTGAATTTGTAGTATTACAGTCTAAATTATTTTTAAAAATGATTTTTTGAAGTCTTAAGTCTAATCAGAATATAGAAACAACTATTATTAGTCCAGTTGCAATAGTACTAATACACGTAGTCCAAATTCTGTAATTACAATGTAAAAGTATCAAGAATACAATTAGAACTGATATTTTAAAATTTCCTAGCTTCTACCCCTTTTCTCTGGTGTTATGCTCACCTTTCCAATTTTCCTTTGGGTCCTAAGGTCAACCTTTCATTCTTCTTCAGGCAGAATGGCTGGGGTAGGGGGACAGGTATGGAAATGGCTGAGAGAAGTCATCAGCATCCTGAGCACTTTGCTTGGAGGAGTATGATGTTGACGGTGGGGTGTCCTTTTTCTTTGGTCTCAGGTCTGCTTGTGGTGATGTTGATAAGCTTTGTTAAGAGTCTGCTTCTGTGGTGTTTCTTTTCATAGGTTACGTTTTATCCACTTTTCCTATTGTGTTATCTCCAGAATGCGTTTAGTTCATTCACAGAATGAATTCCTGTAGCGTTCCTGTAGAGATCAGCCTTTGACCATTGTGATCTGTGTTTACAGCTGGGGCCTCTGGTATCATCCTGTAGCTTCACTCTACAACACATTTTGTTCTAGAATCATGATTCACTCCACAGATAGGTTTTGCACTGTGCGGTTACACAAAGTTAACTAAAACAAGTTCAGACTATAGTCACCTGACTACTAAAAAGCTACTAGTGCAGCTAAAATAAGCTAAAACCACTTCAGGCCATGATAAACCTTGTCAGCTGCTGAGACTGTTATGTAAATACAAATCTGTAACTTATAACTAGTAGTGGCAAGATCATATTTATATTAAACATTAACACATACATTGCTGGGTGTGTTGACTTTAGTGACTTTTTTTTCCCTGTATTTTAGGAAGAAATATCTGAAATGCATGGCCTCCTTTTCTTTAAAGGCTGTGGGCATTAAATGTTCATTTATTTTTAATACCTAGATTTTTCTCAGCAAGACTCTATTATCTAATTTGTAAATGATGGAGTTATTTCAAAATAGGAGCATGACCAGTGGTCTAGGATTACAGATAGCATTACAGAAACTAAAGTAACACATAGTATATGTGTTAATTCTCTGTGTATACAATTTTTGTTTACTGCAGAAAATGCTTGACTACCTGAAGGATAAAAAAGATGTGGGTTTCTTTCAGAGCCTTGCTGGTCTTATGCAGTCCTGTAGGTAAGAAAATATCTACTTTACAAATTTATTACTTCATATTTAGGTTTTATTCCACAGGATGTTCAGTTTTGGAAAAACAACTCTAGAGTTAGGAGCATTCCTCAGCAGTGGATTCTTAATTCTGGAGATACTCTGTAATCCTGCAGAGTCCAGAATCTTACTTAAAATCATGTTACCCTTACTAGTCAACATGCTCAGTTGAGAGATGCAGAATCTTGCAGATTCACAAATGGAAATCTCTTCATTAAATCTGGTTAATTTAATACAGATTTCCCTTCGACAGCTTCAATTTTTCAGAACGTGACATGCAAAGGGACACTGAATGAAACTAGTAACTGCATAGTTTCATAACTGACCTCGCTGCTTGAGATGAACCAGGCTGTAATAAAAGTAGTCAATAATATGACTTCTTTGCAGCTCTTAAAATGCGCATGTATATCAGCTCATTCGTTGCCCCCTGTTTTTTTGATCAGTCGTAAAGAGCTCAATTATATTGTCATTTGCAGAGCAAAAGTAGTAGTAAATATGTTGCGTTAACTTTTGTAATCTTGTAGCTGAGAGGTATTTTAAGCCCCTGAAATGTGTCGTCTTGGCTCTAGTATGATTGTATATTTAGCTGAAATCATTAACTTTTCTCTCTCGTCTTTCATGTAATAAAATATTACAAATACTTAATCAGAGCATGTATATAATTTTTCTCATTGCAGTGTTCTTGACCTAAATGCGTTTGAACGTCAAAACAAAGCAGAAGGCCTTGGCATGGTGACTGAAGAGGGATCAGGTATTTTAGTGGAAATGGTCTATTATCTTTTGTCTTTTATATTTTGTGGAAGCAACCTGAATTTGAAGGAACTCTCTAAATATATATCAAGAGGCTGAAGCTAAGATATGATTCCTAAAGGTGATTTATATTTATTTGACCTACCTAAGCCTGTGTTAGACACCAGTAAATCACTAGCATGTGTTGAGTTTCAAACTGTCTCAGAGGAGTCTTACCCGTCGTTCTAAAGAAGGGAAGAAGACATTAAGTCTAAAACTGGAAGCAGATTCTAGTTACAAACAGCAGTATTTGTGCATGCAACACATTTCAGAAATCCCTAACCAGTTTCAGCACAAAACGAAATTACGAGCTCCCAGATGATTTCTTAACCTGTCTTGGGTGGAATGAAATGTAGATAATTTAGTAAGCAATAAATTAAATATCAGCGGTCAAGGAAACTATATTTGCTGGTTGGGAGAAGTCTGCTTGGAAAGTTTCTTCTTTTGAAATACTTTTTTTCTGTTTGTCTTTTGGGGAAGTACTACAAAATTTTCAGTTTGTTTTTGATTTTAAACCGATCTGTTTTTCTACCTTCTATGTTCAGTGTCGATTTCTTTCTTCTGTCTCTGACAGTAAGTTCTGTTACTCTCTTACTGTGACGGTCTGGAACCGTTAGGTTCATTCTTCTATGACTAATAGAGCTACCAAAGTGCATTTTCTCCCCTTGTTGCCAATATTCTTTTTTACAGTGTATTTTTGCTTAAATTCTACATTAAACTAATCTTAACATGCTTTTATCTTAAAAACAAGGTAAAAAAGTTTGACCAGCATAGTAATTATTGCATTTTGGAGTTCATAATTCATACGTGCAACACTAAACATTGTGCTATTGTGCCTTTAGCACTTTTATGTGGCATATTTCTTGGTTATTCAACTGCTTGTCTGCATGTCAGAACCATGAACTATTAAATTTGAGTGAGTGACTTCCAGAGTGATCATAAATGCTGTTTCTCCAAAAGTGTTCCTACAGTTTAAATTATAAATCAAATCCTACTAGACTTACATGAGTAAACAAAATAAAGTCAACCATGTGGATAAAATTTGGTCACGTGATTGTGGATTGAGCACTGATGCAGGTATCTGGCTCAATTGAAAGGTTTTGGCCGTTGCCATGTCTTACTCAAAATTATTCTCCAGAGTGTTTTGCTCTTTTAGACAACATTTCTGTTAATAAGTATTTAAATTTATTATTCATAGTGTTGGATCTGGAAATAGGTTTTCAAAATACAGGTTCATTTTTGTTTTGATTGGCTGCTTCTGTTACTAGAAATGACAGGTTTTTGCATGCAAGTATAAATAACTTTGAAAACTTCATAATTGACTCTACATGTGTTAGAGCATTTTTCTGCTTCCTCATTTGAGGGATTTTTTGTTTGTTTATCTGATCTTTCTCTTTTACTGCAGAACTAATTTTGCCAAGACCAATACTGAATATATTTTGTATTTGCTAAAAAGAACTTCTCAACTTTTTTTCCTTGTTTCCTTTTCTTTGAACTAAATGTCCTGTCCTCCCTTCCTCAGTCATCACTCATGAGCGTGGTAACTATTGAAAACAACTGCCTTTACTTTATTTTTCCTCTTGCTAGCTTTGTGTCAGCACTGTACAGCTCCTGAATACCATTAGATTTTTTGTTCCTGTAAGACTTTTAAACTAGTGGGTTCTTTTCTATTATTATTACAATTGTGTACTCCAGACTTTTTGGTTTTTGTCAACTGTCCCCACTTCTTTGTTCTTCCTCCCTTTCTCAGGATTTGCACAGTAACTGGCACACTAGATGTAAGAGCAGCAAGCTTTTTAAAAATATCTTTCTTTTGGGGGAGTTTTCTTCGTTATTTCTTTCTGTTTTAGTCGGCCCAGTATTTGTGGTGGATGAATGTTTAAAAATATATATCTATATTTGTACATACACAGAGCTGTGTGCTGTAGTCCTCCTGTAATATTTATGTTGTGTATTGAATGTGACTTTATCGCTACATTGATTTGTGTAAGCACAGGAAATCAGTGGTGGAGCCAGTGAGGATTCAAGGGTGGTTAGTAAGGGGATGACTTGCACCTGGCTAGGTTGATCTAATGCAGTCAGAAGTTGATACAAGGAAGAGGTGATGTTTCTCTCATTTAGAGAAACAATGTTTATAGGTTTTTCCTTGCTCTGAAAACTACTTGATGTGCAAAGATTCCTATTCCTCTAAAATCAAGGTAAAGAGGAGCTTCGTAGGAGCATTTGCTGTGAGCACTGAAACGAGAAGTGAGGGTTTAAAATAAAAAATGTGTACCATTCAGCAGAAACACTAAGCTCAAACACAGCTGGTGCCTTTTCATTAGTCAGTTATTGGGGGGACAGGCAGGGATCTGGATTTTTCATTGTTTTCTGAGTGGCACTTTTCATTTGACAGTTTAACAGAATTCTTAGTTAGGATCGTGTGTTTGGTTTCCTTTAATGTCACTGAACACTGGCAGCAGCAATATTAAGCTAATGTATTCACACTACGTGAAAGATTTCTTGGTGCAAAGGGATAACATTTCTAACAGCGCCTGTTTTACAGAATATTATCCAGTTATTGGAAATTCAAGAAACCACAACAAAACAAAGCCAAACCTGTACTTTTTCTTTTTAAGGTTACATTATTCTTAATATTATACTACCTTCAAATAACAATAACTTTTTAATTGTGAAGCACACCTTTTTAATTCATTACAAAGTAGTTTCCATAAGAGTTCTAGAGCCACTGGTGTTAATGCCTGTTAGCATTATAAAAGCCCAGCCAGTGCGTCTGTAGAGAAATTCCTGTGATAAGCAATTTCCAAGTATCCTAGATATTATGGGCTAGCTGAGATCATATGTCTACTTGCAATCCTATGAGTAACTATCTGTCAAGCACTTCCAAGAAAGTGTTGATATTAGATGTGAAAATACTGTCTTCCATTCCTTTTTTCACGTGAGAGACTTGCTCCATGAATAATTAATTACTCCTCAATTCAGGAACATTTTCCTGATTCTCAAGGGAATGAAGTGATGTAAGAAGTGCTCTTGTAGCCTGTTTGCCATGTCATCTGAATTTGATGCAGAAGCAACGAGTAATTGTCATGGGACTTTGCTTATAAACCTGAAACTGTTCTTCCCAGAATCAAACAAAAACTGCTGTTGATGTCTGTGGGAATACAGTCAACTTCTCATTAAGGACAGTACCATATGAAAACTTGTTTCTGGTCCCATGTCAACCTTGGTAATAGGCAGAAAGCCCTGTATTGGGTCAAAATGGATGTCAGATTTATTGCTCTATTCTTTGCACTGTCCACATCTTAAGCTCCTTGTCCTGATTTTCTTCTGACTAGTACTACCTTCCCTTTCCAAACCCTGGAACCCCCACTGGTAACAACATTGATGGTTCTTTAGCAAACGTGTTTCTTACTTGTTTTTGTGATGTACTCAATGTTGTATCTTTGGTACCTTTTTTTTTTTTTTTTCATTATTCTGTTTTTGATTATTCTGGGATTCAAAACCAAAGGCACATAGAAACGCTTATTATCTTTGATGGTTTTTCATTTAACAATCACAGTCTAGTCTATTTCACTGTAAGTCACAATAAGCTTGAAAGTGCAATGTTTTTCTCCTTCTAAGTGACTTGCTTTACTTATCAAATGATGTAAAAAGTTTATAATGTTTTGCTAGATTTTGCTAGATGCCTTTGCTAGGCACTCTTCCAAGAGTGTTATTTTTAAAATTTTATTCTTTTTTTTCTTTTAAAAAGACTTCACAGAGAAACTTGTGTGTGTTGGAGTTAATTTTTTTCAAATGTAATTCACAGTCACATGATAAATATTACTTACCATTTGAAACTCCCTGTTTTCTAGATTGTTATGAGAAAGTTTGGATACAGTTACTTTTTTCAGTGAAATGTGGTCAAATATATTGGGCTCATTTTGCAAACAGGGAAAGAAGGTTGAGGATGGATCAAGCTTCAGCTCAAGCTGAAGCTCAGCTTTAATTCAAACAAAATATGCCTGAAGCACTAATAATCTCAATAATAATCAAACCTCTCAGATATTATAATGAAAAATACATTTTTAACCTGAGAAGCTTTTAAAATAATTAAACCAGATAACCTCTACAGAGAAGTTATTGCTCGTGGTTTGAATTGTATGGAAAGGTGAACAAGCCATGTGATAGAATCAGACAAATTTTACACCTAAGATCCCAGTTATTCTGACTCCCAGTCCTTTTTTTGTGAATATTGGTGGTGCTGTTACTTTACTGAGGGTTTCCAGAGGACATTGCTAACATCTCTCTGCAAACATAATATCCTAGTCTCTAATACTGATTTGATTTGCATTGACATTACTGCTCATACTATTCTTCGTAAAAAATGTCTTCAACAGACTTAATGTTGGTAAAATGGAAAAAAAAACTTTTTCGGACTGTTTTTAGACTGACATTTTTAACCTCTCTAAATCAGTGTAAGAAGAAAACTCAATATTATTTGATTAGTATTGCATTTGACAGATAGTTTTAAAATAATCACATGGACATGGAAATTTCAAAAGATAAATAGATCTTTTTTGCCCCATAGTTGACAATCTTTGTCATGTGCTACTGTGTCACCTTTGGTACTAGGCCAATTGATTTCTTCCTTTATCAAAGAGTCCCAATTTCAGACAGGAAAAAGACGTTTAAACTGTAGTTGATAGATTATTGCCAAAACACTTTCTGATGGCAAAACGTTAGCATTCTGTAGTGAGGTCATAATTAACAGTGGCAAGGTAGCCCCTGTAGCTTTTTGAACATTGAATGTATTTTTACATTTCTGAAATATGTAGCCTAAAATAATATTTCTAAATTGTAATAGAGGTGGGTTCTTTTTCACTGAGAATAAAAAAAAAATTATTAGACTTGGACAGGTTCTTTTTCACTGAGAATAAAAAAAAAATTATTAGACTTGGACACATGCACTTTCAAGGAAAAAAACATGCATTTCACTTTTTATTCAATCTTATTTTTATGTATTGCCCATGATACTTCTTTTCCTGTGCATCACAAACACAGGCTATCAGTTTTGCACAAAATGCAGACATAAAGCCTTCGTATCTGTAGCCATATCATTTACATACAGCATGAGTAATGGCAGCATTTTAACTATTTTAATGTGGGTTTAAGCAAATATATTGCAGTATATGCATCATATCAATGGAAGCTAAAGAACACAGTGTCTTGACGCCCTAAACCATGTGATATGCAATGTATATATTTGTAAGTACATTATCTGTATAAATGTTTGTGTGTGCTGGCATGAATTTGTGTGCATAGCAACAAAGGTGGTTCTCTTAGATTTTATACAAAGAAATGAATCTGCACACCACTTCTGCAGTATTCAGCACGATACCTCTTGCATTCGGTTTCATTCTGAAAACAAAATTCTTGACGACACCAGCATTACTCGTATTTGGTTTTAGTCAGATTATGGTCATGATAGAATGGATATAGAAGTCTGATAATAAGGATTGTTTTAAATCCCAGTATGGCCAAGCTTTTTAAAGCAGTTTTTGATTTCACTTTGAAATGCACCAAATATTATTTTCAAAAGGAACAAATCTTTCAGCTTATGTGATGTGGTATACCTAAACATCATTTGATTTTGCAGAATTTTGCCATAACTTATATTAATTTTGTGACTTCTGTATAGGGGAGCTGAATAAAAGAACTTCCCAAACTCTCCCAATATTAAAATTGGAATTTATTTCATGGCAAAGTTATTCCCGAATTCCAAGTGGTGTACAAAAAGCCAGATTATTTCATCATAAACTAATCTGTGTGTCACGTTAACTTGAGACTTATTTCTCCTCTTGCTCTGAAAAATGTTAGATGATAAGAGGTCAAGAAAAATAGAGATGGAAAAATTCCAAAAATTAGGCAAAATGGCTGAAAGGAAATTTGTAGTAGTATGTTCAGCTAATTTAAAATCAGAAAAAATTGCATGATGGATTTTTGAAGTTCTTTCCTCAATTTGTCCTCTTTGTGTTTGTTTTCTTACTCAACTTGGCCAAACTGCTGCTGAGGCTTTCAATTTCAGTTTTTTATTTATATCTGATATTACTTTAAGCTTATATTATTTTCATTAGTCTGCACATGCACACATCTTTCTTGGGAAAAAAAAAAAGCAAGCAAGAAAACTAATTTTAATATAACCTAGGCCCTAACTTATAACCTAATCTAGCAAAGCACTTTTATACCCTTTTTTCGCAATGTCTATGAGGAATCTAAATAGATCTTCCTAAGTGCTTGGCTGAAAGAGGACTGTAAATTGTGCACCTTTGTAATGTTTTGCCTTTGAAATTAGTGGTTAGAATATTTATCACTGTATGATCAAATGTAATACAATTTAATACTATTTCTTTTTGATTAGTGAAATGAGACTGGAAAAAAACTAAATAGGTTAAATACCACTGAAAGTTTCCACCTGATGTGTACTGTAATTCAGGATTAAAACCTTTTCTCTTCTTTTGATTATATCTCCATGTTTCAAATCAATATTGAAGAGAACATTTCATTAAGAGAAACATTTAGGTATATATTGAAGTTATGTGCATGTTTAAATGTAAAACATATTCATATGTTTTCCTGAATTTTACTGAATCAAGCATCTTGTGCATTTTTTTGCCTTTCACTTTTTTGTTGCAGATTCCTTCACTTCAGAAAATTGTCATATTGCAGTTTTTGGTCCATTGCTTTCATGGAGTGAAAGTGATTTGCTAGACATATAGTGCAGTTGATACAATGTTTTCTTTTAAGTATAAAGATGAAAATGTTTATCTGGCAGGCATTAGATAATTGTTCCCAAATAAAATTCAAAATGTTATTTTTAAAATACTATGTTTCATATAAACCATAGTAAGGGTGCTATAGATGAACTTTGCTGGCATTTTGGCATAATAAGAAACATTAATAGATATCTATCTTTAATAGCCCTTTAACTTATTCTGTAGTCTTATCCATAGATTATGGCTTAGATTCAGTGACATCTTAATGTGCTAGAAATACATGGTTGGGTCCTTTTTGGGCTTGATTTTGCAAACTGTAGTGCATAAGCAATTTTCCTTGTGAGCTGTTATTTAAGGTCATTGCCATCTTAGTGGTAAAGTTACATGCTTAGCATTTGTGACTATACAGGCTCCATAAAACATCAGCATTTCTGTAGCTATAATGCTTATTTTTGCAAGATGCTAAATATTCATGGCATTCAGCAAAACACGTGACTCAAAGTGTAACTTTAAGCATGTCAGTAGTTCAGTTAAATTTAACAAATAAAGTGATTAATCCTGCAGGATATTCTATATCAACAAATGGTCATCAACAAACGTAAGTATCTTGCTGGACTGAACCTATATATGATGTAGAATTATATACTTCCTGAAGGCACAGATTCCTCCTGATTTTGCCTCATTGCCTTCTCGGACATATATTGTATGTGTACATTAATCAGCACTGTCAGAAACAGTCATTTATTTTTCGTTGCTTAATTAGCTGAAAGAGTTTTTAGTCTTCTGTGACTAAAACTATATATTTGGTATTTATGTCTGGGACAGAGAAAAATAACATTGTCATTTATAGTAATTGGCTCACTCTTGGAAAAAGAATTGTATATTGTTTGCCGCCACCATAAATACACACCTGGAATTAGGAGGAAAAGCGTTTTGTCTTTCCCTGTGTTACAAGAAATGTGATTTGCATATACTTTGGTGATACGTGCTCTTGTTACCAAACATTATGTCAATGGGAGCAAGGAAAAGAGAGAGATAATATATTTTTAGTATTCACATTAGTTTTCAAAATGTTTTTGCTTCCTAATCTTAACATTATACTGAAACTTCTCACTAAAATTCCTAGGCTATGGACTGGTAAGTCCATTAGCTTGAACGTGTAATCGTTCATGCTGTTATGTACATTGGCACCTCTGATCCAGTTCCTGTTTATAACTATTCTAAATGGTAAGCAATGTTGTTTATAATTCAGCTCTAATAACATAATTATAATAATATAATGAATCCAGTCCTTTATAAATATAATCATCAATCAATCAATATAGCAATATGTCAATAATTATCAATGTAATTATTGTCTATAATTTCCAATCTGTTAGAACCTTCACTTTTTTTTTCTCTCTCTTGTTTCGTTCTGTTCACCTACTTGAAAAGAAGTCTTCTTTGACATTGGATTTGGAAGTTCACATAAGAGTCAAAAATGTCCCGACATTAAACTTTTAAATATTTCTGCAATTTCCTTGTGTTTTTATCTCTTTTCCTTCAGTTGTCTACTAATAGCATTTCACCACATGTTAAAATGATATATATTTTCAAAACAAAAAGGTTTTTATTGTTTCTTCTCTTGTTGCCGTGATATACATTCAGAATACTTGTACAAAGCCCTAATTGGGAAATTCTTCACATTTAATAGGTGATGTTTAATAGTTTTGAACACATATGCTGTTGTCCTCCTTTCATTAGATGTCTTTCTACTTTTCTTTCTCAATCTGTGCCTTTTTCCTAGGTGAATGGGTGTTTTCCATCTTCACACTTCAGTGTGCAAAGTTAACTGTATATACTGGTGTAATTGAAATAGTGATGGGTTAACTGAGGGCTTCTTAGGCTACTGTTTTTCTGTGAAGAATCAAAAAAATGATTTGGAGCTTTATATATTTTGATATTAGATGTCTACCAAAAAGTGAATTTAAGGGCCTAATTCAGCAAAGCACATAGGTACATGTTAATTGTAAGTTTAGTGCTTTGTTTTATACAGGGAGATAGATGCCCAATGTTCATTTTGTATGAATGACAAACTGGTGCTAAATCCTCAAATGCATCTGTGATTTTTTGGGAATTTGAGAATTCAGATATCTGTACATTTCTGGAGTCATTTTAGGATATTTTAAAATCTATTTTAAATCTAGTAGCTCATTTGAGGAATGTTTTGGTTTGATTAAATCTTCTGTATTTTTAAGTGTCTTATTTTGTCATAAATGGGAACCAAACTAATCCAGTCCTAACCTTTGTATGTAGTGCAGCGTTCATGCCCACCAAAATCAAACAAGAAAGTGAATCATGGATTGTTTCTAAAATGCTGCCAAGCTCATACTGCCGTATTTTATAAGGAGAATGTTGTGTTTTAGAATTTGTTATTATTTAAAGAAAAAACAAAGTAACTATCTGCCAAGCACAAGTCACATGCGCTTCTGATTAGTGGCTATAAATTTTCTTTCTCCTTCTCTGTTCTTTTAAATTTTCTTTGGGGGGCATGGGGGGGTTGCTTGGCAGCCTGCGATAATTTGTGCTTCCATCTGGCCTTTCTGCAGGGGAAAAGGTGATGCAGGATGATGAATTCACATGTGACCTCTTCCGCTTCCTCCAGTTACTTTGTGAAGGACATAATTCAGGTTTGTGGGCAGGCTGCCGGTCAGCCAAGCCGAGGTGATGGTAGCTAAGGATAAAAGCTGTTCATTGCAGGTCGTTTGGCAACTTTCATAAAATACTATGAAAGGTGGTGTAGCTGCTGGACTGTACATGAAAGGAAAATATTTATGTGGAATTAAATTTTTAGAGTTTTTTAATCCATGTAAACTTTGTAGAGAAAATGGTTTCCAAACTCACGCATTTTGGATCTTGACTTACTAGGAGAGGTAAATTATAGAGAAAATGTACGTTGTTTATAACTTCTAGTCAGCAATTAAGAAGAAAAAGAAAGCAGGAAGGCTGTTTAGTATATTTATCATAACTTGGCATTTGTAGACTTTGTGGTGTGCTACTTGTTACGAATGACAAGTTGAAATTTTACGTGTCATTACAAGGACATGCAGGAGATCTTTGAGGAAGTAGCATGTTTTTTAAAATATGAAATCAAACGAATACCAGTCATTACGTGAAGCATATTATCATTATTAAGTGCATTTCCCAGAAATCTCTGTGGTATTATTGGGGGAGGGGGGGAATTTTTATCTGTTGGACTTATTTATGACTTTGTAATCAGGAATTGTATAATAATGGAGCTTAATTTTCCTTTTGTTTAGCAAAGTATAGACGAAATGTATTTCCATCAATAGTAATGGAGTTCTAAAGGTGTAAAATTGGTCAGAAATAATGCCTAGTTAAAGTTTTACAGAGGAAAAAGATAATAAAAGTTCTGTCTTACGGTTTTCTGACAGATTGGTATGTAATCTCCAGAATAAAATGCTAAAACTCTGGGAGTTCAAAATTTAATTGCAATTAATGTATATTTGTAAACAAAAAAGATTTTCCATTCCTTTAAGCTACACTTTCCTAGATCGCATTTAATCAGAACCAGTTTGAATGGCTAATTTTGTAACGGGTTGACATATCAGCAAATATAAACTAAACTTTTCTTTGCATTTTTAGATTTTCAGAATTACCTGAGAACTCAGACTGGTAACAACACAACTGTTAATATTATCATTTCCACAGTGGATTACTTATTGAGAGTTCAGGTACATTAATTTATATACTAATGAAGTAGATGACGTTAATTACTTGCATCTGTGCAACACCATTGGAATTTTTTTTCAATTTTTATCATAAGACAGTATCTTAATACTTTCTGTTTTCTTGTACATTTGGTGTTCCTCTTAATAGTTTTGTGTTTGGATATCCCTGGTGCACAGTTTTGTACAGAAACTAAAGCCAGAATATATTGCTCCTTTGTCTAACTTTATGTATTTGAATCTTTGCTGCGTCATGGCCACTTTCTGTATTGCTAGATGCAGGTCATAAATCATTTTCCTATTACTGAATGAGAAGGGGGTCCCAAAGTGTGTGTTCTTGTCCCAAGAAAAGAACTCTTTTAGGAAAACCTACATTGACCTCCTGGATAAAACAAAGGCTAGGCCTTTCTGCTGCGTCTGTGGTATTAGCAGTCACCCAGCCTCTAGCCTGACATGCTCAGCTTTATCTATATAGCTCAACTCGGACCTTTTTTTCTTTCCTATTTTTTCATCTATGTGCTTTTTCTGTTTTTTTTTTTCTTCTTTTTCTTTTGATGATTCTTTGCTCCCTTTCTTTACATCTTTTGTCTAAGGAATTTGTCTAAGGTTCTTAGTGTGTAATGCAATTCAGATACGTAATTCGGTTCCTTTCACTGTGGATCCTTTACTTCATGTGTCTCACTATATGTTGGCTCACCTTAATAATGCAGTAAGAAAGGAAGTCAACTTTTTCCATGAAATGTTCCTTCTATGTTTTTTCCTCAAGGAGAGTATACATGCATTATGTCATTGTGTTTACATTAGGGAAGCAAGATGAAAGGCAGACATCTTGTACTTGAAGACTGAGTTGCTTAATTTCTCTGGAATTTCCTTCAGCAGCAAGTGGTTTGCTGCCGCAAAAGTTCTATTTACAGTAAAATCGAACTTCACCCTTAACGTAAAATGTTCGACTTTACCAGAGGAGCTTATTGATTTGTCACCATGTTTGTCCTGCTCACTATGACCTATGTTTTTGAAGAGAAAGTCCGTAATTCTCTACTGGTCACAGTTCTTTAAATACCGTTATTTTGCACTATGCGAGTCAAAGGTGACAAAAGTGTGCAAGACTGATGTCAAACATTATCTGTAAAAATACAGTGGAGTCTGTTAACCACACAGAGCAGGTAGAAAGTAGATATACGCTAAATAAGAGGTAAGCATCAGTTTTAACTGTGAATTGAATTCACCGGTTGTTGACTGAGACTGCTCTTTGAGTGTAAAGTCATTTTTATTGTTCAAGTTAAGCTTCAGCCAGTTGCTTTTTCACGCATGTTTTTATCTGAACATGGGTCTGTTATATGCACAGTCATGTGATGACATGGAGTGAAGCATAAGAACTGTTGCCTAATACCGGCAAAAATAAAAGCAGAGACAAAATTAAAAACCATTTAACGCTCTAATTTGAATCTTCTCCTTAACCTTTAAATATGAAAACATCACTTTGTCACAACCCTTTGGAGAATAATGAAAAAAATGTAATTTGTTTCCTAAACAGAGTAAGTGAAAGACATAAAAATAAATTTGTGATAAACATTAATCATTTTTCCTGTTTCTGTCATCTCTCTGAAAATCCACAGCACTGCACACGATACTTAATCTACTATATTTACTTTAAATTTGCTGAGTTAAATTTTCCCTTTAGCCTTTTATTTATTGGGTCTAAGAATTCTTGTCTGTGAAAACTGATCCGTTTTAAGTTGCTGTTATCAACGCTGCTGCTTAACCTTATACATTTTCTAGAAGTTGTAGGAACAATAGTAGTGATAATGACAAAAAAACAATTTTTATTGTGTTGCTTATTTTATTGAAACTTTAACTTTCTTTTGGGAGAGACAGGAAGAAGACTCATACACACAAAGGGACATTTGTTCCCACTGTTGACTAGTTGACAAACACACAGTATAGAGATTTTTTTAATGAACAACATGCAGCATAGCAGTACCAGTGAATGCTCCTTTTCAGAATGCAAGTGATTGTGTTTCTAAGAGCAGATAACCAACAAATCTAATTTTTTTTAACTAGATTTTGAGGGGTTATTTTCTTTGTTTTGATTTACTCCTGTTCCTATTGATTTCTCTTGAGATCAAAATATAATTCCTGAAATTATACTTGAGAATCTTTCAGGGATCATTAAAACTAAATATTAAACTGATTACTTTTTAAAATTCTAGAATACTTATATAAAACTAAACACTTTTCAGAACTATATTACTATCTAATGTTATTTTTGTTATCATGGTAAAGAACCCGTTAGAGGCAGTGTAACTGTGTAATCTCTTTGTGCTTCTCACAACTGTTTTTAGGAATCCATTAGTGATTTCTATTGGTATTATTCTGGGAAGGATGTTATTGATGAGCAAGGACAGCGAAATTTTTCCAAAGCCATCCAGGTTGCAAAACAGGTTTTCAATACTCTCACAGAATATATCCAGGTAAATTAGTTTTACTATAACTTTATGAATTTTTACAGAAAATCATCGCACTTCTGACAGAAAGACCTAATGTAGATAGATATAATATCAATAGAGATGTAGTATAGATACATTTATGCCTCAGATCTATTTTAGTACTTTTATTTAAGTAGGAACGGAAGTTTTGAAGCATGTGTAACTCGCTACTCTTCTGGAACCTTAGCAGTTTAGTCAAATTTAGAGTTATTAGTAGATAATCTTTGTTTGTTTGTAGGCAAGATAGCAGGCTTTTTCTTTTTTGCTAATTTGGTCCAGACCATAGCAATGTTATCCACTTTTAAAATCTTAACTTTTAACCCACTGAGAAACTAAAGTCAATTCAACATGTAGTTGCATAAATAGTCAATAAAGCAATAGATTGCATGCTGTGTCAGGAGTAAGGCTGTTTTAAGGCATCAGTGCCCTGCTGGAAATACTCAAGTCACATGATGTATTTGAGCACTGCAGATGTTCTTGAGATCAACTCAGAATAAATGAAAAGAGCAAGCTGGCAGGACTTGATGAACTCTAGTGAAAGGTTAATAAGGAAATTAAATGTCCTGTGTTCTAAGAAGGCTTTGGGTTGCTTGCAGCAAATAAAGATGTGTCGTTCACTGAATGATTCATTTAAAAATGTCTTTTAAAAACCCTTGTGCTGTGGGATTTGTCCATACTGTACTCTTAATAATAAGGTAAAGATCCTATGAGAAAACTTTTGGGATTTCATAACTACTTGTCTTTTGTGATTATTAGCTAATAAAGATTTTATTCCAAGTCATTTCAGTCATCAAAAGATTTTAGATTCATGCATTTCAGAATTTGGAAAGTTTGGAAAAATATTTCTTTAGTGCTGTGTTGTAGAACACGTAGAATATGCTGGAAAAAAATAAGGATCCTGATTCTCTGATCTCTTATACCAGTGTCGCATTAAACCTTTGTAAAGGCTTCTGTTTTGCAGTACAAAATAGAGAAGAATCAGCTTGAAAGTTTGTACCCCTTTAGCACTTGCAGTTTAAAGTTGCAGGCAGACAAAATTTTTGTAGTTCTGAATTAGTACATATGTACTTAGTTGGCTAAAATAAAGTCAGGCTGTGAATGATTATTAGAAATGGGCATTGCTTAGAGTCATTTGTGTTATGAAAAAGATAATTCTGTGTATGTTTAGCTTTTCATAGCAGTTTCTAAAGGACAGCCCCCAGCTATGCACTGCCTCTATGTCTTCCTTCCTGTTTTTGTTGAGTTTCTTGCAAATAAACTCTGCTTTTCTTTTCTTACTGCCTGAACGATAGGGACCATGTACTGGGAACCAGCAGAGTCTGGCACACAGCAGGCTGTGGGATGCAGTAGTTGGTTTTCTTCATGTGTTTGCCCACATGCAGATGAAACTGTCTCAGGTATCTTTTCTTGTTTTTTCCTCTTTAAGTTACTAACTCTTTAGTGAAGATCAACTGACTTGTAAATATTTTTTGAGTCATTAGTAAAAGAACAGTTAATAGTGGAAGTATGAGGAAAAGTAAAAGAGACAGAGAGGTGGGTAAATACAGCAGAGCTGAAGGTATACCTTTTAAAAGTACAGTGGACATGAGTAGCAGGCCTGTAGTAGGATTACTGACAGTAGACATGAAGCCAGGTACAGATAAATGAAGCATATTACCTGAATTCAGAAAAAACTAGGCAGTTCCCATGTTCTCATTACCAAAGTCAGTTTTTCTGCAATTTTGCCTGAGTCTTTTCTGCAGAATCCATCTTCCACATGCAGGTGTCTAGTTCAGGGCAGACATCTAAGCCTCTAAGACTCTTCTCCTCTCAATAGAGAAAGAGGGTGTCGGACCTTAGAATGGGTGGATTGCCTTTGGATGTTACCTCTCTTTTCAGGGGCTATAGAAGTACTACAGGGGACTGGCATAGGCAGCTCTGTAGAGGGCTGAAATTAAATGAGAAGAATCCTACCCTTAAACAGTATGGTTTTTTAACTTCTTAACTTTTAAAGAGAGTTCAGTATGCCTTATTGCACATCTTAACTGAGTGCAGAGATCCTGAATTTTTAAAATAATTTAGTGTTCTCAGAGAAAAGGATCATAAGCTTGAAATGGTTTTAGTTGCTGTTAAGTAGTACAACTTTGAACGCTATGAGATTGTCAGTTTTTACTGTTTGGATCCATTACAGATCAAACATCCATGTAAGTACTTTTACGTGTGTTACATAAATGAAAGTAGTCTCACTCAAATGATTTTCTTCCTTTGGGACTTTACTGTTGAAAGAAAATTGATCGCTTAGATCCGTAGACTTTATCAGTGCTACAGATAAGCTTCTCATTCCTTTTGGATAGATAGATGTCTTCTTCCAGAAGATGGCATCCTAGTGAAAGCTGTTTCTCCAGAATGAACAGCAGTGAATTTCCACTGATGTGTATTTCTAAGTTTATACACATACTATCATAGTTGGAATATCTTTACTATTTTAAGAATGGAAAAAATAGTCAATAATTGTGTAGGCAACAGTAGTGACTGTTGTGATTTCTTCCTGAAAGAGCAAGGCAGCACAGACACAGAAAGTGTCTATAGTTTCTATAACTACGTAGTTATAGAAAGCAAGCCAAGCACATGGACACAGTGCATTGATTATGAAAGATGATGTGACTGTTGACCAGAGTTTCAGAGCAATGACAACTTTACAGTCTCAGTTTTGCCCAGGGTGGCTTTATACCATCTCACAGTTACTGCATCTAGAAAATAATGATACTCACCCTGCCACTTAAGAGAGATTCAAGAAGCTTTACTCAACAGCAAGGTCCGTTTCATGTATGGAGTTACTTGTGCTATTCAGTGGAATGACAGGAACACAGTCTACCCCGAATGTATGATAAATAGTGGTGGTGTCTTTCTCTTGTATGGAGCTCAAGCTCTTGGCATCTGGGAGCTTATTTGGTGAGCCAGAATAGCCTTGAGCATGACCAGAATAGGGATTAGGGGGTTTTTTTTGTTTATTTATACTTACTGTGAGAATATTTTTAATAAGTTGTTCAGACTCTGTTGAATTATCAGTTTTCAAAGGTGTACAGCCTGGCTAAATGAATTTATAAGGAGCTGCCCTATGGCTTTTGTCTGTTTCAGGGGCCTGCCTAGGCTAAGTAGTTAATCTTTGTTTCAAACCAGAAGTTTCCAAAGCACTTTGGAGAATATTTAGAACATGATTTCAATTGGAGCAAAAATATGGGGCTTTTTTTTTTCCTTCTCTAGTCTTGTACTAGGAAGCAGCTGGTTGATAGTTGCGGTAGTTTTTTAAAAATCTCTGTGAGGCAGAGAACAAATTTTAAAATTTCTGTCTAAATAAACAAAGATTATCCAGGCTATAAGCACCTTGAAGTAAGAAGTTTTGTAATGAAAACTTACAAGGAAAATTAGAGATGTCTTTACTATTTCCAACTTGTTTGATTTCAGTCCAAGATGCAAACTGTCATAAAGTACGCTGAATTTGTTTTTTTTACCACTGAAGCCCAGCAATGCTTGAGTAGGCCATAGTGACAGCATGATGATGAGAATTACTCAGAAGGAAATGAAGGAGTCAGATGAACGTATTATCCAGATAGACTGCAGGATGAAATCATTCTTAGGCAAAATAGTAGATCTGATAAGTTGAATAAGATAAAATATGGCTAAAAGAACCAATATTGTCTGTTATTTAAGGATATATTAATGGAATTTTACTGATTTTAATTTTGAAATTGTATTTCAACTTTTCTTCCTTCCCTACCCCACAAAAAAGTTCATCAGCCAATAATGGAATCAGTCATTTTTGAATCATGTTGCACTTTGAACTTCATATGCTAGTACCATTGTTATTATTTTTACAGGACTTTGCAGCTATGAACTTGATTACACCAACAGTGACATTGTTTTAGGTGACATGAAACATTGCAGAGACATCATCTGTGAGCTTGACATATCCAGCGATTGCTTTAAAAATTGTCATCAGCTTCAGTTTTCACTTTATCTCTATTAAATTATTTTCTTCTAAAGTAATGATTCTTTATATGTTAGTCCTGTAAGTGTAAGGTAGACAGTCAAGCAGTTACATATATTTACACGATTTTATCCCTTTTGACACTAATAGCCTCTTCATTTACAAGGCTTATTTTCCAAGGTGAAATCTGCATGCACATATATAAATGTTAAAAAGTCGATAGATGTATAACATATTGTATTCATTATGTAGGATTCCAGTCAAATTGAATTACTGAAAGAATTAATGGATCTTCAGAAGGATATGGTTGTCATGCTGCTGTCTATGCTGGAAGGTAGTTCCAATATAATTTGAAATTCTCTTTCACAGTTGTTTTAGAAATGTTTTTACCTTTGGAGATTTTCTTCTTGTTAGAAGTAATGTTTCATTTTCCTTTTAGTTTTTAATTTTCATTATCAATGGTGAGAAGAGATGTTAGATCTTAAAGTACATGGGAGATTTATATGTAGTAGTTTAGATCATATTTTATATTGATTCTGAATGTCAGAATTATATAAAAAGCAGCTCTGGCAGAAGTTTTGTTTTGTTTCCATTAATTTAGCTTCTCTTTTGGCTTAGGTGAAGTTATTTACTAATGAACTAGAAATCCTAAACTCCTAAGCTACTGAGCCATTCTTCAGTCATTTTATTAACCACATAACTGCGTTTGCATTTATATTGGCAGTGATCTTAGCCATAAAAAACAAGCGTTGATTTAGCCAGAGACTAGGTTCAAGGTCCATTTTTAGCTAATATCTTGCAATTATGGTTTTGCAAGAATATCCAAGAGGACACGATCATTGTCAAGAACTATTACTATTTATTTATCTATCTTTCATGGTACTGTATTCGTGCTCCTGAGAGTAGACCACCAAGACATACACAAATATAGGTGATCTGTTTTTCCTTTTGCATCTTAGAGGTACTTTATCACATTTTTTTTTTGAGAAAACTGGGAAGATAGCAAATGCAGCAAGGATTACAGTGATTGCAGTGTAGCATGAATTGCTACTGCTGCTGCTCAGTTTGTAGAAGGTCACTGAGAAGCAAAGTAAATTCTTGGTATATGTAAGCTGCAGTCCACGAGTGACCTACAGAACAACTCTTCCTAACTGATATGATGCTCTGCCACGCTACAGTAAAATATTTGTAACATCACTCTTAAAAGGTGCCTTGTGTTTATTATATTATTAAATTTAACAGCTGTCTCTCTCTATGGTCTGCTAATTACTCCTTGGTTTCCATGGTTTTTCCATGTCTAAGGATAGTGTTTTTAGTAAAAGATTTCTAATTTACAGGTGGCTTTTCCATATGAGAGAGCTAGTCAACAGTTTTTTGCCCTTAATATGTGATTATTTCAGGAGTCATTATTAATCACTTTTCTTTGCAAATACATTTGCTGTCATCAATATCTGTTACTCATTGTCATCATGTCTAGGTAATGTTGTGAATGGAACTATTGGCAAGCAGATGGTTGATATGCTTGTGGAATCGTCCAACAACGTGGAGATGATTCTGAAGTTTTTTGATATGTTCTTAAAACTTAAGGATTTGACGTCCTCTGATGCATTCAAAGAATATGACCCTGATGGTAAAGGCGTAATTTCAAAGAGGGATTTTCACAAGGCAATGGAAAGCCATAAGCATTACACTCAATCTGAAACTGAGTTTCTGCTATCGTGTGCTGAAACAGATGAGAATGAGACCCTGGACTACGAGGAATTTGTGAAACGCTTCCATGAACCTGCTAAAGACATTGGTTTCAATGTTGCTGTTCTCCTGACCAACCTCTCTGAACACATGCCCCATGATACCCGCTTGCAAACTTTTCTTGAGCTGTCAGAAAGCGTTCTGAATTATTTTCAGCCCTTCCTTGGACGCATAGAAATCATGGGCAGTGCAAAACGCATTGAACGAGTTTATTTTGAAATAAGTGAGTCAAGTCGGACTCAGTGGGAGAAACCTCAGGTAAAAGAATCAAAGAGACAATTTATATTTGATGTTGTAAATGAAGGAGGGGAGAAAGAAAAGATGGAGCTTTTTGTTAATTTCTGTGAGGATACAATCTTTGAAATGCAACTGGCTGCCCAGATCTCTGAATCAGATCTGAATGAAAGGTCAGCAAATAAAGAGGAGAATGAGAAAGATAAGCCTGAGGAACAGGATCCCAGAATTGGTTTTTTCTCTCTTGTGACTATGAAATCAGCATTAGTAGCTCTCAAGTATAATTTAATGACTCTTATGAAAATGCTCAGCATGAAGAGCCTAAAGAAACAAATGAAAAAAGTGAAGAAAATGACTATGAAGGACATGATCTTGGCTTTGTTTTCTTCTTATTGGAGCATTTTGATGGGCTTATTGCATTTCACCTGTAGTGTCTTCCGAGGCTTCTTTCGCATTGTGTACAGTTTGCTACTTGGAGGAAGCCTAGTAGAAGGAGCAAAGAAAATCAAGGTGGCTGAACTGTTAGCTAATATGCCAGATCCCACTCAGGATGAGGTGCGTGGGGAAGGAGAAGAAGGGGAGAGGAAACCAACAGAAACTGCATTGCCTGCGGAAGACCTGACGGATTTGAAAACTTTATCAGATGATAGTGATCTGCTCTCAGATATATTTGGTTTGGATTTGAAACGAGAAGGTGGCCAGTATAAATTGATCCCTCATAATCCAAATGCTGGTTTGAGTGATTTATTGAGCACTCCTTCCTTAGTTCCAATGCCTGAGGTGCAGGAAAAAGTACAGGTAAGTATATATCTTTTTTTCTGCCATATATTTTTCTTCCCCGTATGTTAAGTGTAGTCTTGAAACAAAACTCACATCTATGTAATTGCATATAATCACTAAAGTTTAGCCTCTTTGAGGTCAGAAACTTGCAGCCTCACAGCCTTCGCTAGATACGTGCTTTTTCGGTTTGCTGTTAAATCAGTGTCAAAACATGTCTTTATAAATGTAAATTGAAAGATAGTCTTCCCTCAATGTGTCAACAGTTTTAAAAAAAAAATCAGTTATAATGGTCAGTGCTCTGTATATCGTTTTAACTAGGTTTAAAGACTGTATGCTATATAATAGTGCCCGGATATTTTTCTTTTATCTAACTCTCTCTAGGAGCAGGTGAAAGAAGATGAAAAGCAAGAGAAGGAAGAAGCAAAATATGAACCTGAAAAAGCAGAGTATGTATTACTCTACGCTGTGATCCTGCAAATTGTAGTTTGTTTCACTGAAGGATCAGCTCTGATTATACTTTCTCCTTCACCTTTGTATTTTGTGTCCATTCACATTCCACATTTATGACTCTTTTGTTCATCCTCATCATCAATGGACATTTGGAAAGAAAGAAAACAAAAATGACATCACTTAGAGCTCTATTTCCTGAATTTCCTTCTTCCAGGAGCATACTTTGTAGTGTTGATTTAGTTTCTTTTAGCTAGAATTCACAGAACTCATAAGGTAACTTGCTACCTTTCCTCACAGAAGTTAAAAGGTTACTTGACTACATTTCCAGAAGGTAGTCCTAGGAGTTTGCATGTTTATCCAAGAGATGTTTATTTACAAAGGCATAGCTACAGTGGTCCCAGAGTCCACTGAGAATTTTGATGGAATCAGTATATTTTGTAGAATATTTTGAATCTACTAAATTAGCGTTTTAAGAGGACTAAGTCTTCTGTGGGACTGTTCTCACTGGGCTCGTTTTCATCCATTTGTTTAAGGTATTCTTGGCAAACATGAAAGCTAGAAGAAAATCTCTTTAAAATCGTAAGAGCTCTTGGGTTCTAGAGGGTAGTTATCTGTCAGTGATAGAGCTTGAATCTGTTTTGCTCATCCCATTTGATATGACGTGTTTTGAGTTACTAGGATTTTGCAAAATCTTAATAGTCCGATATAATTTTGATGAATTACTGGAGTACTCTTAAGTCTTTGTGCAGAACAACCATTAACATTTGTTAAATGATAATTTTAATCTTTTTTTAAAGCAACTTAAAATTAATTAAATGATTAATCAACCATTAATTATGACATTAATGGTAGTAGCCCAGAATAGAAATAGTGGAAAAAAATATAATACTTGCTTTTGAATAGCAAAAAACATGGCATTCCATCTCCTTATTCATGGTTCCTGCTATATGGTTTCTGTAGCTAAAATGTCACTGTCCAAATACCAAGTGGATTCCTTAGTTTCAAGTTCTCTCCGTATTGCCCTTCTGGAAAGACAAAAACTCTTCTTTTTAATCAGTGCAGCAAATTTCCAGAGCAGCCAGTGCAACTTTAGGAAAGAACATCTTGCTGACTTTTGAAGCTGACTTTACTCTTGGTTGGGGTGCTTGACTTCTTGAGTTTCAGCAGTACTCATGTTCTTTGTGAAGAGTGCAGTGCCTAGCACTTGTTAGCTGCCCTGAAAGCACTCCTAACCTAAGTCAAAGTTTCAAGTGAAAATTTGTTGAGTGTATCCCACTAAGAAGAGAAGGTTAAGAAATCAGTTATTCTGTTTGTAGACAGATAAAGAGAAATGAATAATGTAGCTTATAGTTGCCTCTCATTCTGGGTTGGCTTCAAATAGGCTTCTGTGTTCCTTTCATCTAGCATGCTGTCAGGTCAAATAACTTCCAAGAAAATTCACAATTTCTTAGATCATATGTTTGGAGAAGGTAACCTACTAGTAACTTTGGTTTTCTGTAGTGGGGGGCATTGTAATAATCGCAGATCAAAATGCTGTCAAACTTTCTTACTCCTCTCTCTACCTGGAGTGAGTACTTATGAAGTCCTCAGCTGTTGGGCAGAAATGCAGAATTTGAATCTTGAGGCTTGGCTTGTAAATACAAGAGGAACTGAAGTTTCCTGCAACCTGTTTGAGAACCAGGTGGTTCAAGTGCGTGAGATGAGAGGGGAGCTCTCCACAAGCTTACAGACATTTTACTGTGCAAGTATTTGCTCCACAATTATGAAGCAGAGCTTCAAGTAATAAGATTGGCAGATTCTTGATTGCCTGCCTCTACCAGTTAGCATCCTTGCTTCAACGTGACAAACCAGTAGGTATAATTAGCTGTAGACTTACTTTACTAGATTATCACCCTTGCTAATGCTTTGAACTGAAGAGGGATAGTTCTTCTTGTTATCCATGTGGGCGCACTGCGTGACTCATGACTACTTGAGCCTCATAAGAAGATGGTAAGTCTTCTTTTTGGGGGTGACTATAATTTTTTGTTCGTTAATTTTATTAATGTGATATTCTTTTGATTTTGTTTGTCCCCTAAGAGGAGAAGATGGGGAAAAAGAAGACAAAGCTAAAGACGACAAAGGAAAACAGAAATTAAGACAGCTTCATACTCACAGATATGGAGACTCGGAAATTCAGGAATCAGCTTTCTGGAAGAAAATCATTGCATATCAACAGAAGCTTCTTGTAAGCTTGCTGTGTTTAGATGTGTAAGCTGTTGACTGTGTTTCGGTTTTAGGAGGGATGTGTACCACAAAGTTCTACCAACCTGAAGAAAACAAGTTTGTATCTAATAAATCTCACTCATTTTTCCGTGTACAGTCAACCTGAAAAAGACATAGAGGCAAAAGTTTAATGAGAATGACAGAGGAAGAAAGCCAAATAATTTAATAGACGGGATATTAAGTCTGAGTAAGACAGTTATTGTCCAGAACATAGGCCTTCAGAGATGCCTCTGCATTACTGGAAAGAGCCTTGCATTTTTATGTGAAGATGAGTATTGGCCAGTCCAAAACTTGCACAGCAGGTTGTGAGCCTGAAAGATTTCACTTCCCGCGAGAGACTTCTTTGGGAAGTCCTATGTAAGGAATTTATTAAGGGTAAAATGCTTAGCCTGAAACTTCTTAGAATGCCAAATATAAATATTTTAAGAAAAAGGTTACAGATTTTAATGAAATGGCAAATTAGTATTTGAAAACCTTATCTTCCTACCTATGGAAAATAAGATTAATTAAAATAGTATAACTGCATCTGAGTGTTTCTCAGTAGCATACAGTGTCTTTGAGTTTGTTGTAGAACTAAATACTTTTTACTAGTCAGGAGATACCGCATATATTCTGTGAATCTAGACTGATATCCAAGCCAGAAGAAATCACCCTTTTTCTATATCTTTAGTCGTAGATATAATTGTCTGCTTCTAACATGAACAACGTAGCAAAACTACAAAACTGAAACCATAGTCTGAATAAGGAATTAGATGTTTAAGTTTTGCTTTTGAACTCAGCACCAAGTGATCTAATCATGCAGCAATCATGCAAATTGCATTTAATTTTTCTTCTAATAGCCTCATTTAATAATTTCTAACTAGTCTTCTAAGGTTAGGGCTGAAATGCAGAGGAATTTCCATGTAAAAGAGAAAAAAGTGTGGAAAATGTGCTGGGAAGGTTTGTGCACTGTCAGGAAGAGAAGCAAGGGAAAATGTGCATTTCTGCAGCCCTTTTTATAGTATTGTAATGCTTAATGGGGGAAGCTCTTTACTCATGGTACTGGGTTCACAGATGAACTTTTTGCTGATCTGGTAAAAATGCAATTGATTTTGGAATAGTAAAAGGATTTTAAAATAAATGTACCTACAGACATTTTTGTTTCATGATAAAAGGAACAATTTACCAAGCTGTAAAATGCACATGCAAGAACATAGAGGTACAGTGAAGACAGAGGTACTCATAGCACAGTTCAGTGTTACTGTTACATTGTGATGTCTCTCTGTTGCCTCTGTATATTGAGAGTGGGTGTAAGAGGTCATTAGAAATCCTTCCTCTCTTTCTGCGTGGAGTGAAACAAAAGTTCCTCTAGCCATTATTGCATATATAGAGTATGAGAGAATTTGTACAATGTATTACTAAAAATTTTAATAAGTAACTTGAAGATCATGCTATCGTTATTATGCCAACAGTATTTATGTTTTATTTTTCTTTTCAGAACTATTTTGCTCGAAACTTTTATAACATGAGGATGTTAGCATTGTTTGTTGCTTTTGCCATTAACTTTATCCTGCTCTTCTATAAGGTAAATTTGTCATAATATAACTTTTCAGTTCGTTTACTGAAAATCGTTCAGGTTTCATAGCCAGTATTCTATGCTGTAAGCTGGCTAGACTAATAGACTGAATGTTTGCTTCATACTGCCACTTCAGTTGTCTAACAAGGCGATAGCTAAAGTTTTTGTGTGAAGTAATAATAGTCTGCCATTACATGAATAGCTATTAACAAAGTTCTGCGCTGTGACAGAGGCAGCAAAATGAATGCTGCACCCGTACCTTAGATGCTCTGTTTTACTGTACAGCAATTTAGCCCTGGGCCCACTTCACTGTCAGTTTAAGCTAATGTATGTCAGCTGAGATGTTTCTTCAGCCATCATGCTCACCTGAGAGTGTGTACCACAGAGGGAAGTCATGTGTTAAGCTGCCTAGAGTACTACTGACAGTCTTTGGCAAAGCCTGTAGTACAGTTAGTACAATTTTAAAATTATCAGACCTAAATCAATTCCTGGGAGAGCCTTACTGAAAGATTGCATGTAGGAATGTTAGGAGTTCACTGATCTTCTTCCAAGAGAGATCTTCCTTCTTGGATTTTTGGTGATAAATTCAGTGTGATCCACATTTTTAGCATGGAAACAGAATTTAAAAAAGAAAAAAAAAGTCAAAAAAGGTCATAAACTGGTTTAACAAGATGAAAGGATCTCTGCAAAAATTGCTTCCTCACAATTACATCATCCTTGGTATGATTATCTTCAGTTGTATTACTTAGCCTGTAGCAGTGTGAAACTCCTGTAAAAGGCATGTAACCGCTACATTAAGTGATTTGAACAGGTCTCCACCTCTGCTGTGACAGAAGAAAAGGAAGTTCCTGTGGTGCCTGCTGGTGAAAGCGCAAAGTTGAACAACCTGGAAGGTGACAGCCACAGGGTCATTGCAGTGCATTATGTCCTGGAAGAAAGCAGTGGCTACATGGAACCCACACTGCGCATTTTGGCCATCCTGCATACAGTCATCTCGTTCTTCTGCATCATAGGGTATTACTGCTTGAAAGTAAGAGAAGCTGAACATTGTTTTCCTTCTAGCTCCCAAATTTTTTTGCGTTGAGCAATGTAAACTGGGACATTGTTGTAACTGGGACATTGCTGTAGCGACTTTGCTCAAGCAGTTTGAGGGACCACGTGAAGAAAAACTATTCTGTTAGTGTGACTTACAGAGAGATTCGGTTACGTGATAACTTCACGAAGGTATGAGCCAGAGCCTGATTTGCTGATCTGGCATTGAATCAAGGATCAGCATTTGCACAGTTACCGTGTTAGGCAGACCACTAGATCACTAATCTGTATCAGAAACCTGATCCCTAATCTGTATCAGAAATCACTTGTGACAAACAGGGAATGCACGTAGCCAGAGGAAGCTGGGTGACAGCATCCACATTGCTTGTCTGTCGGCTGGGTCATTTGAAAAGCATGCAGTACTTTGGACTACTGCTACTGTGTGTTGCTTTACTATAGCCAGTGCCCACTTTCTTTATGCATTCCAATTGCTGTGTTTTGGCAGGAACTTGATTATCTTTAACAGGAAGAGATCTCTGTTAGGTAAAATATAAAGTTGCCACCCTTGGTGGCAAAATCCTACCTCTCATTTAGGAAGACCAAATGCTATAAATCTCTCGAGGCTGGAGGAATATATATGGGATGCAGTTTCCCCCATTTTTATGCTCTTCTCCAGGCAAGTACTGTATGGCATAGTGCAAAACAGGGTGCTAAACTGAGTGCACCATTGGTCTGACCCAGTATGGCTGTTCATTTGTCCTTATAAGTATAATTTCTTAATTAAGCTTTTATATGGGCCTTGATGTTTTTCCTTTCCCTTTTTAACGGATAATACTTTTTCTATGCCAAAAAAGACACAATCTGCCATAGTAGTTAAGGCAAATGGTCGTCACACTGCTGCGTTAAGTGTTTGATCTGTACTTTAAGTGTCTCTGCAGGTCAACAAATACTAAAACACATTCCTCTGTTTTACTTGTTGGCTTGTAGCATAAAAGGTTAGAATTCTGGCTTTTGAGATGTCCTCTTCCCCTACCACCCAGCTTTTTTACCTTTATGCATCTTTCCCCAGATTGTTTTTCTAAAATTACATTTATTCTTTGACTAGAAATGAAATACATCAATATCATTATTTGTCATAATGAATTTCCTTCTTTCCAACTGTGAAACCCTTAAGAAAAGACCACATATGGTTTCAGTCTCTGTCTTGGAGATGCACTGCTTTTAGGATTAAAAATGTTCATACCTGCAGTTCTGTGCATAGTATATTTGTTTCTGGAGGTTGCGTAGCATAAAATTCACTACACTTTTCTCAATTAGCTGTCTGAAAATAAGATTGGAACTATTGTTATCATAGCTAATGTAATCACCATGTTACTGAAATAGTCTAATTTTCATCGTTATTATTTCAATATACCCATGTCTAGCCTAGACTAGTAATACAGTCACCATTGCAGAGTAGCTGCATTTTAGAGGGCTGCAAAATGGTTCTAGGGAAAAGTAGGATCTACTTTCAAAATAAAAACCTAATCAAACGATCCACTATATAGCTGTCAAAAGTGCATTTATATTGGTAAAAGATTTCTAAGGAACCATTAGCTGCATCTGCCTTCCTGGAAGGTACTTTTGAATGTCATCCAGCTGATGAAAGAGAGATGTCTTATAGGGAAAGCCTGATCAGGCTTAGTGCTCAGGTGTCCCAAATGCTGGCAAAAAAGTACAAAGCACAAAGCAAATATATGGAATATGAATGTAGTTTAAAGATTTTCTTTCTGCTGCTCCTGATCTGTCTTTGCTCTCCACACTATAAAACTTCAAGAATTCCATAACAAGTGAAAAGCAACCTCTAGTAGTTTCTGGTTGCCAAAATACAGTCCAGAAGTGTGATCTAGGAGATCCTAAATTAATATTTTTGGACTAGATTTCTTAAGGGTTGTAAGGCTGTTTTCACTGTAGCCCTTTAGACCTTTAGCCCCCTTTTCATTTTAGCCCTTTAGGCTAGCTCTAATAGCTCCGTGGCACTTTGGCGCTATTTGTATTAGAAGGTGCGATTTTATTACGACAGTACAGTACACTGTAGTTGTATGTCTGCGACTGATCCGGTCCTTAGGCATCTGCTCCTTCACAGTGTTCTAGGCAGTGACCAAGTCTTTTGATGTTTTGAAGTATTAATTTTGTTTTGTTCATTTTTTGCATTTAATTTTTCCTCACAGACATCTGTCCATAAAAGTTTTCAGATAATTTCTGATATGTTTATTTTTTCAACTGCAGGTTCCGTTGGTTATTTTTAAGCGGGAAAAGGAAGTGGCAAGGAAATTGGAATTTGATGGGCTGTATATAACTGAACAGCCCTCAGAAGATGATATTAAAGGGCAGTGGGATAGACTTGTCATCAACACACAGTGAGTTTTTACTTACTCCGTATAGCTTTGCAAGGAATTATTCTTCAGTCTCTGCAGTTATGTAGTTAATCATCAGGCTTGTCAGAAGTGAGCATTTATGATGGCTATATTTCCAGAGAGGGTATACAACATATTTCAGGTAGTTGTAATGTTAATAATGTTTACTATCACTTTTAGTCATCTTCGTTCTCAGATTTTTGCTTTAAAATTATTTCTGTTCCTTTAAAAAAAATTCACAATGAGTTTATTTTGGCAAGTGCAGTGATCACAGAATCACAGAACAGTTTGAGACTGGAAGGTGCTTCTGGAGATCTTCTGGTCCAACACCCCTGCACAAGCACGGTCAGCTAGAGGAGGTTGCCCAGGGCCTTGTTCAACTGGGTTTTGAATATTTCCAAAGATGGGGACTCCACAACCTCTCTGGGCAACCTGTTCCAGTTTTCCAACCACTCTCACAGTAAAGAAGTGTTTTCTAATGTTTAAGTGGAATTTCCTGTGTTTGGGTTTGTGCCCGTTGCTGCTTATCCTGAAATTAGTGTGATTATTGTGTACTCCTGTCAGAGAGTGAACTACACTTTGGATCTTTTTAGTGTCTCTTGAAGACTTCCTGGTGGGACTGTGTGACCCAACTGCTTTAGAACTCTGTCTCCAGGCATCAGCTCTGCTGCTGTTTCCCAGCTGAGTTAGCGTGACATGCTCAGCTCAATTTGGTAACTTTCATTGCAGAGACTTCACAACAGCTAGCTGATAATAGCAACAAAGAGCACCTTTGAAAAAAAGCCAGTAGCTAATTCTTATGTCATCTTGTTACCTACTGTGTCTTCTCACAATCCTCTAAAATGTCATTTTTTTCTGTGTTTTTCAGGTCTTTTCCCAACAATTATTGGGACAAATTTGTGAAAAGAAAGGTAGTGGCTTACTTTTAAAAAATATACGGAATTAACTTAAGGTTCTAATGCAGGTTTATTTTCATGTTTGGAGAAATGTGGACTACACTTCTTTGAAATATAATTTTCATCCACTGTAGGTTACCATGTTTACCACTTTAAATGGAATCCTTACTCGTCTTATGCTTACAGCTGCTTTCTTTTGTGCATTTTGGATATTTATTCTTTCTAACTTGTTCCAGATGCAGCTTATTTTATACAACTGAGAAATTTCAGATACATTCATGTGGTTCTGTGGACAAGTGTACACTTTTATGCTTGTTAGAACATATGCAAATTGTTTTATCTCTGAGTAGGTATGTATATATCTATCTCCCAAAAACAGTCCTCCATAAGTAAAGACTTCTGAAGTTTATTTCTTATAAACATTATGTCGAATGTTTTCTCATCTTCTTCTTGGTGAAATAAATATGTTACGTATACACCCTATCTCACAACAAGAATAATCTTTCTAGGATGTTTGGAGAACGTTTAAAAAGGGGGGTGTTTATGTTGCCGGACCAGATTTATTCTTCTTTCATACCATTTTAATGCCGGCTTTGAATCACACATTTGCAGACATGTCTGGTTGAATACTCGTATCACTTTTGCTTCATAATACTTTTAGGTGAGCCTAGCTAAAAAAAAATCCTATGAGTTGTATTTTCACCCTGCTGTTGAAACTATTTTTTGCGTGTTTGAACAAGTAGTTAAATATGTGTTTCTGTCTGTCTGTCTAAACAAAGAGGAGGGAGTAACTTGCATAGAGTACTGAAGGAAGAAAATAAAATTCTGCATTGCCTCTGTCAATGTAGCAGGTCAATGTTGATGAAAGATTCCTATTGAAAAGGAAATGAGCATGTTTTTAAATTGTGTGGAAAGTTTGGTACTTTACCTTTGACTACGGTAAAGGTAACTGTTTTGCACAAAGTGCCTTCAAATACAGTATTTCGCAAAGGATGCTTTCTTTTATGCATATATATATGTGTGTGTGTGTGTGTGTGTATACATATATATAATATACATACATATATATAGTTTTTAATCCCCAGGCTAGTGAATGTCATGTTTCTATATGTCTTCACAGTCATGAAGCACTGTTCTTAGGCATGTGAAAAAGAAGGCTTTTCTCTAACATATCCACAGAGATTTAAAACACTGATTATTAGAAGGCTGCAAAATACCATTTCTTACCTGTGGGAGTCAACCATTTATGATCTTTTAATCTAAATCTTTATATTTCTCTGAATATTCTTTTGCAAATAAGAAGAGACAGGTTATATTTAAGAAGGAGCTGTGCATTCAGTGGAATGAGAGCAAGTGAAATCCTTGGTCCCACTCTTTAATTGTTCATTTTCATAAATGTTTCCTATGTAAAGAGAAAAATGTAAAGAGAAAATTTAATAATATTGGAAGGGTATAGTTGTAGTTCATGTAAAATCATTTTTACCTGTTGCCTCTCTATTCAAAATCTTTTCATTCTTACATATGGTATGTATACTATGTATTCATTGCATTATTAAATACTATAAAATAAGCTCATAAAATTATGCGATGGGGCAGGTTAATAAACATATTTTGTAACTATTTTGATGTGAAATGCTTGCCCTTAAAAAAAGAAAACCAGAAAACTCAACCAGTAACTTTTAGGTTATTTAATGAAACTTTCTACACAAATAAATTATGTCTCTTTTTTCTTAAAAGAATAATTAGTGAGAGTCAAACATTTTTTTAGAGAGATCTTACTCTAATCAAAGCTTTACACATGGCTAGGATAGTCATATGTTCATAACATTGTTTTCCTGTGCGAGCTTAGGCTGTATTTTTTGTGCCTGTGAGGACAATGACTTATTTATTCTCCTTAGCTGGGATTCTTTCCTCTTCCTGCTATCAGCAAGTAGGAATATATTATTTTTGACGCCTCTTGTATTTATCAAACTGATTGAAATAGAGCAATAAAAATTATTACTGAGTGAGCTGATAGACAGACGGAAACAAACAGACAAAAAAGATGTTTGTTAACCTTTTTGTCTTCAGAAACCAAGCTAAAAAACAACTGCTCTACCTAATTATTTTGAATATTCTTCCTAAATTTAGGTCATGGATAAATATGGTGAGTTCTATGGACGCGACAGAATCAGTGAGTTACTAGGAATGGACAAAGCTGCTCTCGATTTTAGTGATGCTCGAGAAAAGAAGAAACCAAAGAAAGATAGTTCCTTATCTGCTGTGTAAGCATTTGCTTCTGGTTTGTTTGTGTGCTTTGGTGGGTTTTTTTTTTTTTTTTTGGTATAAGTTAAAATCTGAATCAAAGTTTGTCGTTCAGCTTTGAATCTTTTTGGTGCTCTTTTATGTATGGCTATATAAGATAAATCAAATCTTGAATTGAATGATATAGAGAATTTAATTCACTATATACACTGTAACATATATACAGGACTCTACTGTTCTTTGTCTGTGAAGATTTAGTTTAGTGCACAGCTGCTTGAACGTACATTCCCATTATTCTGATGAAGTGTAATTATAACTGGGCTGGAGACTCCTTTTCATGGTTCTCTCAGTTCAATGCAGGCTGAAAGAACAGACAAAACTGACACTATATTTATTCTGATAATAAAACCTGATCGAATAAATTTACATGCTAAAATAGTGACCAGTAAAATCTCGGAGTTTAGATGTTTTTTCTTCACACTTTTTCATATTTTATTTTGCCTAAATTACCTCCTTGCCTATCATCTGAGAGACAAACATGGAAAAAAGAAGCTCTGAGGCGTTCAAATTGTATTCATTTTTCTGTCTAGCAAAAAAATAAAATATCCTCGGTTTCTACAGAGCACTGCAAAAAATGTATTTTCCAGTTGTGCAGTGTAAAAATAGGTTTTCAAATAAATGGATGGAATATATTTTAACAGTTGGACTTTTAATACTAAAAAAAAATTCTGATATAGGGGTTAATAGATAGTTTTCTTTAAAAACAATATTTAATCAATGGGTTTACAAGGATTATATGAAGTAGACAGTGGGGCCTCCAGTGAATTAGAACTACATTGAGTCATTCCATACATCTGACAGATGAATATGGCATGGGAAACTAAACAGCTGTGACAGAGAAGTACAGAACTGTTCACATAAAATATGTGCTTCAAGAATTGTATCTACTTTATACCAGTTTTAGAAATGAATACTAATGAAACAACTAAAACTCAGACGTATTCCAGATTCAGCATTTGGAATACGTTTACAGTGCAAGGAAGAGAGAGGTGGGAGAAGCACTGGGGGTGGAACTCTTCCTCGACGATGTTTGGGCAAGAAATTGGAGAATGAATATAACGTGGTGCAGATCCGAACTCAAGTGCCTCTGCCCCTGCCTGTGCCCAGATGCAGGCCAGACCTATGTCTCTCTTAACAAGGAAGGGAAATACAGCATGTAATATTACAAATGACCAAGATTTTCTTCTGTCTTCTTGACTCCTAACTCCTGCCATTCCTTTTCCTTTCCTTTCTGCAAATGACCTGGGATTCCCTCGTATTTGTCCTGCAGACAACTCAGAGCACTGTTCTTGCAAGTGTTTGTAATTATGTTGATCAGCGTTAGGTCAGATGAATCCCAACCAATATTTATTTATTTGTTTCAAATTTCTGACTGGTCTATACCAGAGAAACAGTGTGAAATAGAACAAGGTTCCAGGGTTTCAGCTTCCAGAGAAATAACTGTGGCCTCTCTTATTTATGGCTCAGTACACTTTCTGTAGATTGTGTTGTATATTTTCCCATTGTGTTTTTATATAAAGTGCAATTACTTATTTATTTATTTTTACAGGCTAAATTCCATTGATGTGAAATATCAGATGTGGAAGTTAGGGGTTGTTTTCACTGATAATGTAAGTTTATCATTTATATATATGTGTATTCACCTTATAAAAAATATACACTTAACCTGAAGTGCTTTTGAGGGGTTATAAAACACTCTAATTTACAAGTGTTTTTTTGCACAGAAAGAAAAACATTTTAAGAAGACATTACTCAAATGTTTTCCATGTTACATAGGGTATTAGTCTATAGAACTTCAGTCTTTTTTGTTTGTTTGTTTTTCTCTTCTGATATGCTTATTTATTTGGGAGTAATAATCAAGTGCTGTGCTATGAAATTACAAAACTGTCTATATCAATTCTAATTGCCTTTTTTTGTATTGTACATAAACTTTTCATTTACTGTCACTTGACTATTTCTGGAGCACAGGCAGATCAGTACAGTTAATGTGTGTGAAATTACTGCAATTTATATCACTGAAATGGATATGAAAGATATGAAGCAATGAGACTGATGATTCTATTCATCTGTTTGTGTCCTTTTTTTTTTTTTTTTTACAAAGAAAGAAACAATAAACAAGGCTGTTCAAATATCTTGGAGTTTAAGATCTTGCTCATATTGATATCTTGATTACTGCTTCCTTAATCAACTTATTTTCCAAGTGAAAAAATGGGGTTTGAAAACAAACAATTTTGGAATTAAGACTAGTGGAGAATGGAAGTGATCTGACTTCAGTCCATGTTGAAGTCGGGACGATAACCCTCTGGGGTCCACAAACAGCATGAACTGTAAAGCGTCAGTTCAGGAATAGGTCTCCTCTAAAGGAGGGTCTGAAATTTCTCTTATAAATGTGTAATTGTCTTTCTATCCAATGAATAATTAAAAGCTGGGGAGAAAGAGGCAATTAACATTTTTTGTAATAGCTAGTAAACTACTTTAAAAGTTCTTACGTGCTTAAGCAGTAGTTCAGAAGTTTGAATTAATTATAAAATTCTTGTTAATTTTGTAGTGCTTTCATTTGTCATTTACTACCTTAGGGCTTTAATATTTTAAGTAATTATTCAGAAATTCAGAAACAAAAAGTCATTCAAATCAGAAAACTCTTTATTTTTGAAACGTTAACAATTAAGAATTTTAGATTTCTTTTGCGTCCATTTGAACTATTGTCTGTGAACTGTACATTTACTCATTTAATATTTTCATATAATAAAGAGAATTCTCAAAATCTGTAGCAAAAACATGTGTAAAATCTTTTTTGTACTTGTCTATTTAACTGAAAAACACATTCAAACAACTTGTACTTTCCTTAGTTCTGTGAACAAAGTTGACCATAATAATTGTGAACTTTATTTTTTAATGTACTTATTTTTTCTATTAGTCTTTCCTTTACCTAGCTTGGTACATGACCATGTCAGTCCTTGGCCATTACAACAATTTTTTCTTTGCTGCTCATCTCCTTGACATTGCAATGGGATTCAAGACATTACGAACTATCCTATCATCAGTAACCCACAATGGCAAACAGGTATCAAGCATCATCTCTTCTCCCCTTTTTTTTTTTTTTTTTTTTTTACTTAAGGAGTACAAAGGAATAGTCACCATATGACTGAATTCAGCTAAGGTCTGAAAGGTGCTTTCCTGGCTTGACAACAGGATTATTCTTCCATCACGAAGTTTAGAACTTGTGTCCGTGGGAAAACTAGCTAGTGGGATTTACTAACCACAAGAAAATGGGACTAGATCGTATGGCATTAAATTCAGTCTCCAGCTGTTACGGGTAACTGTGTCATAAATTCACTGTTCAGAATTTTTTCAGGATTCATCTAAAGAAAGAACCAGCTGAAATGCACTTACTCTTGCTGTTAGAGAGCTCTTTCAGAACCTCAGTCTTTGGATAATAACAAATCTTTTCTTATGGAAGCTATAAAAGCTGAAATTGTATTTCTGATGTTAAGTAGAGAAAATAACCGAGGCTTACCATCTGTTTAGATCTCTTGTAGGAGTAATGCTTCCTGTAATCTGAGATTTCTAGTGTTCCTCAGGTATGGTAGCCTTCCTAGTCCAAAGGAACTTTGTAAACAGTTAATGGTAAAAACAAAAACATCCTTTGTCTGCTTGAAGAAGATATTCCAGCAGGACAGCTAATATAATTCTGCTATTCAGGAGGGCTGAAGAGGGTAACATAAAGAAAGATCTTCTCCGTTTTGTGTACTTATTTGCATTTGACCTAAGATGGAGTTTCTAAGCCTGGCTTTATATACTGTAGGTGCTTTAGAAGTCTGGTGGCTATTGCCATTTGGAAGTTTATTAGTAGTGATTAGTTGTTTTTGTTCTAGTTTGTTTTAAGCAACTGTGATACTAGTGAAATGTAAAATCTTAAGCAATGATTTTTGTAGGTATGAATGGAGCAATGTGAGATGCTTTCTCTTGCAAATTTAATTCTGCCTTCAAATGCACTGTCCTTGTCATCAATTTTTATGCATTAATGCACACTGAAATGAGCACAGTTTATATTCCAAAACAGCTAATGAAGTATGAGACATATAAGGGAGAGTCTTCGTTATGAACTCACCTCGACAAACTGTTTTAAATTATGTGGCTAACTTAAGAGGTTTCATTTATGTAACAAAAAAAGGTCTTGAAAAGGTACAGGAATCAACATTTTGCAGCATTTACCCTTAGAAGAACAGAATTTTTTCTTAAATTCTAATTTCTTAACAAAAACAGGAAAAAAATCAGTCTGTGACTGAATATAGTGAAATAATTCTACATTTTAGTTAGTGTTGTATTTCTTTGATAACCTACTGCTTTTGATCTTACTATCGCAACCAGAGACCTATAATTACACGTACCCTATTGAAATCTTGGGGCCTTCTTGTATTAGTTTTACGTTATGTAGAGTGGAAGCCCTCCAGGCCCACGACTGTAGATTGTGTTATGATTGCTGTAATGTTACCTGAAGTTATTCCTTAGGAAACCTTAATAGCAGTCGTGTGAGAAGAGATCCATGACATGCGCATGTGAAAGTTAATACAAATGACTGATATTCCTTGCTGCTATTGAAAAAAAAAAAAAAAAGCTAATTTGATAGGAATTTATTATTATTATTATTTCTAACATACTGATGGAAACAAATACAGTTATTTCTTCCTTAAATCTATATTACCTTAATCTTTGTGTAATGCTGCCTGAAAGCAAACCTTAAAAATTTACAAGCAGTGGTAATATAGAGTTTTGGAAAAGTAAATCCTACTATAATTTCCTATTAAGATTCACAAATTAATCCTGAGTTGTTTTTCACGTTCACATTTAGGCCAATTCACCAAAAAATAACAAATTGTAATTTTTACCTTTCTTCAGTGGTAGCACAGAACTTGTATGACTAGTATGTTTGTCAAAGAAAGTGATAGGGTGGTTGAATGGATGAATAGAGTTTTCTAAGGGCAGTTGGGCAGTTCATGTGTATATGCATGGATAGGCAAAATCAAAGCTGCTTTTTTTTTTCCTTCCCCCTCCCCGCTCCCCCAAAGTATGTGCATCTTCTTTTAACCTCGCGGCTATGTATCCATTTAACTGTGCCTATATACTTCTGGCGTAGAATTTATTCTGAAGTCTTTACAGAGTATCTATAATGTAAGGGCATTGTTTGTGATACACAATTTTTTTTTTTTTTTTTTTTTAAGTCTGGCAATTATGCAAGTGAACTGTCGATATGCAGGACGTTACAGTTTACTTGCAGCTGCTTTCCGTAGGGCTCAAGGCAAAATTTTAATGATGCTGCAGTTGAACAATGGGGTAGTCTTTGGTGCTTCTGAGAGGTAGATATTAAAGTTAAAGGAAGAGTCTGTTTTATCTGTGATTCCATAGATGTAACCAAAACTGTTGCAGTATTCAATCACTAGGAGGTAATAAACTTCTAGAAATACTCTATTGCAATTAGATAATATGTGATATTAAATAGTAATAGTGTTATTACTGGGTAGAAAACTTTCAGATATACCTCTTCTCTATGTGATTACATAGCTTCTGTATGATCCTAATGGACTGTCTGTGTACATATCCACTAGATTTTGCAAGGTTTGTCTGTATAGTCGTGTTTCTGAAGCATAGTTTTCCTTTGAAAAACCAGCTGAAATGCAGTCTTTGCATAAAAATAACCAGATATATTATCAAATGCTGCAGATGTGCAAAGAGACAGAGAGAGTAAAGTTTCACTTTTCTCAGAGATTACTGTTCTTTTTCTTTTTGCAAAGAAAATTGTGTGGCATGCTTGCATGAGTTTATTATATCTATTATATAATTTTGTCTTCCAGCTTGTACTAACAGTGGGATTACTGGCAGTAGTGGTATACTTGTACACAGTAGTGGCATTCAATTTTTTCCGCAAGTTCTACAACAAGAGTGAAGATGGTGATATGCCAGATATGAAATGTGATGATATGCTAACAGTAAGTCTTAGTTTTCTTTTTGCTTTTTTTCTTAAACTGTTACCCTTTTCTTTTCCTGTCCTTCATGTAATTCCCATTCATATAGTTATATCATTAGCCAGTAACAGAAAGATCGTAAGTGAAGGTAAAGAAACAAAGAATATAATGAAGATCCCTAACAACAGGAGATACCCTGTATATGTTAAACAAACATGTCTATGAAAGAATAGAATAAATGAGATGGTATTTTTTTCTATAATTTCTGCAAAAATGAACACCAAATAAAAGCCAAGAAACTGAGTCAAGTCAGTGAAGGGGAGGAGGTACTTCTGAGGAGGTACTACAGGCCGTTCAGATAGTGACTTAGTTATAGTCAAGGACTTTCATAAATAATTTAGGTTCTGAAATGCTTGTTTAAGCTTGAAAATCTGTCAGTCTTCACTGGCATCAGCTGATGTGATGATCTTCCATTGGCAGTTCTGTTACTGGAATCTTTTCTGTGCTCAGAACCCCTGACAATTATTTATTGCTTACTGAGATAGTGCCAGGCTTTGCAGTTGTGGATGGTAGGGCTAATGCCACTAAAAATGCTAAGATGTGTTGATGTTAGTATCCTCTTAAAAGCAGTCAGCCGTCCATAGCGAAATTAAATGTGCTTCAAAATCTTACACAATACTAATGAATTCCAGGGAATTAATAACTGTGTGGTAGTTTGGGGCCACCCAGTACAAGAAAGATGTAGATAAACTGGAGTATGTTCAGCAGAGAGCCACTGGATGGTCAGGAGCTGGAGCACTTGCTCTGCGAGGAGAGGCTTAGGAGAAATGGGCTTTTTTAGCTTGGAGATGAGAAAGTGCTGGAGTGGTAGGGGGCACATAATAGCAGCTTTCCAGTGCCTGTGAGGAGGTTATTGATAAGATATAGCCAGGCTCTTTACAGCGGTGTATGGCAGCAGACAAGGGACATAAAGTGAAACAAAAGAGGTTCTGAGTGGGTGTAAGGTAAAAGTTTTTTGCCATGAGGACAGTCAAGCACTGAATCAGGTTGCTCTGAGAGGTTGCACAGTCTTTGTCCTTGGAGGTTTTGACTTGACTGGATGAAGCCTCGAGGAACTTCATCTGACCCACTGGGGATCCTGCAAGTTTGGACTACAGACTCCCTGTAGGTCTATCCCTTCCAATGTGACCTGTCCTGTTATGCTGTGAAAATACTGTTATAACAATGCTATAATATACAGGAATGAGTCTGAATAACATGTGATATGTGATACAGTCAGGGTTTTCTTTTATAAAATCTGTAAGACTCACAATGTAATGCTGGGAAAAAAAAACAGAGAAAAAAGTACTCAGAACATACTTAAATTTTTAGAAGTATAAAAATAACCTTTTAAACTTCTTAAATAAATAACAATACCTTCACTAGTTAAATTCATGATTGACTTCCATGATTGGTGAAATAAATAGTAACTATAATTCTTACGTTATTCAGCTTTTGATAGTTCAGTGCTGTATGTTACTGTATCAATTTCTTATATAAGGGATTTGGGAGTAGGGATAGTGTAAAAAGAAAAGAATGGCTCTTTCACGTGGTTAAGGCTTAGAAACAGCAGCATTTGGAGGTGACCAATTGATATAAGATAAGGGGGTGTATGGCAGCAGACAAGGGACATAAAGTGAAACAAAAGAGGTTCTGAGTGGGTGTAAGGTAAAAGTTTTTTGCCATGAGGACAGTCAAGCACTGAATCAGGTTGCTCTGAGAGGTTGCACAGTCTTTGTCCTTGGAGGTTTTGACTTGACTGGATGAAGCCTCGAGGAACTTCATCTGACCCACTGGGGATCCTGCAAGTTTGGACTACAGACTCCCTGTAGGTCTATCCCTTCCAATGTGACCTGTCCTGTTATGCTGTGAAAATACTGTTATAACAATGCTATAATATACAGGAATGAGTCTGAATAACATGTGATATGTGATACAGTCAGGGTTTTCTTTTATAAAATCTGTAAGACTCACAATGTAATGCTGGGAAAAAAAAACAGAGAAAAAAGTACTCAGAACATACTTAAATTTTTAGAAGTATAAAAATAACCTTTTAAACTTCTTAAATAAATAACAATACCTTCACTAGTTAAATTCATGATTGACTTCCATGATTGGTGAAATAAATAGTAACTATAATTCTTACGTTATTCAGCTTTTGATAGTTCAGTGCTGTATGTTACTGTATCAATTTCTTATATAAGGGATTTGGGAGTAGGGATAGTGTAAAAAGAAAAGAATGGCTCTTTCACGTGGTTAAGGCTTAGAAACAGCAGCATTTGGAGGTGACCAATTGATATAAGATAAGGG